TAACTGTTGATGTTGACCAGAGCAGCTGAAATGAAACTCAAACAGCAGAGCTAGAAATCTGAAATACAGGGAGAACATGTGTTTGTTATTACTTGAATTATACGAAGTGTTTTTCTACTTTTCACTGTCTGTGGTCCTGCTTTTTACCGCATTTGTTTGGGCTGAACCGCTATCGTGCATTTTCCATTTGCCTTGAATTGTTTTTAAATAAATCACTTCCGGTATGAATAAAGTTTGTTTGAACTGATTTAATGGTGTTCTTATTCAAACTAATTATCATCTCATTGAAAAAATGATTTTGTAAAACTTTCCTTTTATTTATACAGGTAGTCTCATTGAGTCAGGAGAACTTATTTTCAAGAGAGAGCTGTTTTAGGGAGCAGATGGTGGGGGTTAAGGGCCTTGCTCAAGGGCCCAGAGTGGGGCAAATGAGGGTGGAGGCAGGTGTGGGTGTTTCACCTTTTCCACCCACATTTTGATGTCAGTCCAGGGAGTTGAACCTGCGACTTTCCGATCACAGGCCCGTCTTTTCTAACCTCTGCGCCACCACTCCCCTTATATCTGGGGAGTATTATATCTTATTAATCTATTATTATGTAGTAAATATCTGAATTAACAAGATAAACTGTTTACAGTCTGATTAATGAATTTGATCGATGTAACTGATCATTTTACCTGTAAAAAAAAAACAACTAACTTTTTATTTTTATGCAAATAAATTGGTTGTAGGCAAATTTTCTTTACAGCATTTGTAAAACTGTAGCTTAGTAGATTCTTATCCATCCGTGCATAAGATGTTACTGCGTGAGTGATGGGGTCCTGGTGAAGGTGTGCACTCTGAGTGCTATGTTTTTGCTTCTATTGACATTAATTTAAAAAAAAAAAGAAAAGGTTGACAAACCATGAAAATAAGCAGATAAAAGTACATGTTTGTGCATTTTTTTTAATGCAATTTTGATCAAACGTATGCATTGTATTATTGAGACAAATGAAAAAAAGAAAACTAATATATATCTAACCTGAGTAGTGATTTTAGTGTAAGACAATATGCAGAACTTATAAAACACTCCCAATGTTTTATTTTTTAATTGTTTAATTATTTTACCTTAATCAATTCTTATTTAAAAAATTTAAGTATTTAAACTGAACCTGGATTATAAAATATGATTTTTTTTATTATTACAAATCAACTTATCCTGTTTTTACTCAGAGTTTATAATGGGGCTATGCATTTTCTTTAAAAAAGAATTATTTTGTAGTTAAAACTTTATTTTAAAAAAATCAGCAGGAGACTACAGAAGCTGGTCATGGCATGTCTGAACTTACCAGGGAGTTATTAAAAAAGTGGTTTCTTCATTAAAGTGATTAGTAAAATAATGGTCAGGATAAAATAATCCATGTGCTTCATGACTGGTCTTACAATTTTTGGATTCATTCAACCTTTATTTATACTGGTTAATCCCATTGAGCCTCAGGGACTCATTTACAAGAGAGATGTAATCACAGCATATTACAAATTTAACTTAACAGAGCTTTTCCACCTGCTTTCCTCTTATTCACATGCACATGTACTCTGTCTTACTATCACTGACTTTCATTCCTCTGCTTTTAGGTCCATACCTTCACCTCTCCAAGTTCTCTTCCACCTGTTCCCTGTTCTCACCACAGATCACAATGTCATCTGCAAACATCATCCGCAGGGATGCCTGCCTGACCTCATCTGTTAGTCGGTCCATCACTAGAACAAACAAGAAGGGGCTCAGAGCCGATCATCAATGCAATCCCACCTCCACCTTGAAGCTATCCGTTACTCCTGCTGTAGCACATCTCACCACTGTCCTGTTGTCCTCATATGTCTGGTACCAGTCTTACATACCTCTCTGCCAGTCCAGATTTCCTCATGCAATACCACACCTCCTCTCTTGGCACCCTGTCATGCTTTTTCTAAAGACACAATGAAGTTCTTTCTGACCCTCTCTGTACTTCTCCATCAGCATCCTCAAAGCAAAGATGTACAGTACATACTAATAATTTTAAAAAGCCTACAGCAATATTATTCGTGTTTCCATGATGGCGTGTCACTCTCCGTTTAAAAGTAGATTTCACTTTGTTTTATACGTTTGTTATGTCTTTCTGCAATTTCTGAGTCATTTCTGTGTCTTTTTGATTCGGCCAGTTTTAAAAATCAAGTACAGTACAGTAATAGACTTGAACAGCTGGGTGTAGTACCGTCTCTTGCCGTTAGGTGTCAGTAAAGGTCGGTGTAAAGGTCTAATCCGCCTCGAAGAAGAACTAAAGAGCCAATCAGAGTGCAGGGCTTCGTGTTGAACTGATGTTTTGAGTTAATCACGGATTTCGCATACACTTTTAGCACTTTGTACTTTTTTTTTAGGCGAAGACGTTGCATGTTTATTATAGTTTATGCCCGCGCGATAAAATGAAGCTTCCAGATATTAAAAAGTTAAAAGTGGCTGAGCTGCGGTCCAGACTTACTGAACTCGGTTTGGACCCCAGAGGGCTGAAGGCTGAGCTGGTGGACAGACTGTGGTCTGCATCACAGGCAGGACGGGACTCGGACAACGCGGAAGAAAAGACGAAACACCTGAACGAGAGCCCGCTGGTACCGGAGCAGACCGTGGAGCCTCCGTCAGAGGGCCGTGTTACTGCGCGCTGTGAAGTAGACCCTGTCAGACAGTACACAAACACCTCCACCCAGACTGAACCAGAACTAGAACCTGGTCCGTCAACAGTACAGGAGGGTTCTGGGTGTGTTTTAGAGTCTGAGCCCCTCTGCCTGGCAGGGGAAGCTGTGCTGGGACACACAGAAAGCCTTGCGTTAGAGAATATTAGCAGAGGAAGAGCTTTCTACGAGTTTAAAGAGGAGATAAGATACAAAAGGTAGGTAGTAATGTTGTGACAAAACAAAACACAGATGAGTTTGTGTTTGTTAAAAGGTTACAAGTCACAAAACGGGAAATGTATGAATGTGCCTGAAGCTCAGGTGCACAGTTTAGTGCCTAAACTATATTATTGATGTGAAGATTATTCTAAAAGCCCACTTCACATCTTGTGCCTATCACATGGTAAAAATCACAGTTTGTGTCTTTTATTTTAAGATTTGTCAACATCATATTCTTTGTTTTAAAGTGTAAAACAAGGTAAAAGTCACTTATGACTCCTTTACTGATAGAGATTTATTGTGTGATTTATTGTTTTTGTTTTTTTAATCTGATATAAAATGAAGAAGTAATATTTGGAAACAGATGCTATTACTACTATTTAAGTATTGGTTAGAGTTGTTTTTTCTGTTAATATTCTATATTAAGTTAAAATTTGAGTAATCATTTGTAATTAACTTTAAGGCAAGATGAGATTTATGGATATGAATGATGTTTTTCTGTTTGTGCACATGTTGACAAACCTGCTACTTGCAAAACTTAAATCCCCAAATGTGGACATGTTCCATCCATCCATCCATTATCTTTTACCTGCTTCTTCCTTTTCGGGTCACTGGTGCCACTGGTGCCCATATCCTCAGTCACTGTGTGAGAGGCGAGGGACACCCTGGACAGGTCCAAGTCCATCACAGGGACACATCGAGACAAACAGCCATTCACGCTCTCACTCACACCTAGGGACAATTTAGAGTTACCAATCAGCCTAACATGCATGTTTTTGGTCTGTGGGAGGAAACCTGAGCACCCGGAGAAAACCCACGCATGCACGGAGAGAACATGCAAACTCCACCCAGAAAGGCCCCCGGCCAGAATTTGATCCGGTGACCTTCTCGCCGAGAGGCAGCTGCTCTACCAACTGTGGACGTGTTGAATCCCCCAAAAAAACTTAACTTTTGTCACTCAGCTGGAATATTTCTTGTTTTTTTTATTTATTATTAATTTTCAAGCAGTAACTGTTCTTAAGAGGATCTTTGATTAGAACAGAGTTCTGAAAGAGTCTCTTTTTCTTAAACCAGAGCCAGATCACCTCAGGGCCCCCTGGAGAAGGAAGCTGCAGAGGAGCGTGACGAAGATAAAGTCACGTTTGCCACATGTGAGATTTAAGTATTTTTTAAGTTGCTTTTTTCTGTAATATATTTTATTCTCTGACATTTTCATGAAAAGAGTCCAGAGACTGTACTTGTTGTGTCCTCAGATGATTGTCACCTCCACTTTGAAGTGGGTCCGGATGGATCTTGTGGGCAGCCACGATTCTGGGATCGGTTCCCTCTGCTGTGGTCCGGCTGCAGGCTCAGCCATGGTGTGCAGGAGGGCAGGGTGGGCTTTGAGGTCAGGCTGGAGAGGAAGCTGTTGGCTGGAGAGGCAGAAGACCAAGAGGTCAGAGAGCCGTACGGACTGAGAGTGGGCTGGTCAACAGCTGACACCTCTCTGCTGCTGGGTAAGGATTAGATTGGCTGAAAATGTTTTCATATTTGTTGAACGGCCTTTAGTTGATTAATAACGGGTTTCATATTATCAGGCGAAGATGAACGCTCTTTTGCGTACGATGGGCGCAGTAAAAAAGTTTCTGGTGGAAAAGAAGAGGAGTATGGTGAACCTTTCTCCGAAGGAGACATCATTGGCTGTTATGCTGTGAGTTATTATCTTTCTATATATTCTTGTTTCTAGTACTGAAGTATTTTTTCTAATTTCTATCCTGCATCCATGTTTGTACCGTCACACCTCCAGTCTTTTTCGACAGATGGCGCTGTTGAGCTCTTTTTCCATAAGAACAGCTGTTTCATGGGAATTGCCTTTTCCCTTGATGCCTCTGTGCTGCGTGGTCGTCCCGTGTTCCCTCATGTACTATGCAAGAGCCTCTCGGTCCGATTGCTGTTGGACCCTGCGACCCCTCAATGGCACCCGGGCCCACCAGGGTTTACTCCGCTGGCAGCTCTCCCTGTTGGGCAAAGAGTGCGCTCCACATCAGCTCCTACCTCCAGAGCGCAGAGGGAGGTGAGAGACAGTCTGGTAAACTAGTTTGTAGGTTTTTACCGTAGTTCATTCAGATTTATAAAAGTCAAATTCAGTTTGGTGTTACACCCAAATAAAGAGAATTATCAGAGGTTTAACTGTTTTTTTTCCCATTTACTTAGAACTACTTGTTTTTCTTTGTTTTAATTTTCATTACAGACAACATGCTCTTGATTAGGGCAAGGCCAGTTATTTGTCATCACTACATGTGAGGAGCCAGTGTTTAATAAAAAAAAAACCTGATTAAAAAATTAAAATTTAAATTTAAAACTTAAAATTAAAATGTGTAAAAGCGTATAAAGTGGTTATTGCCCTGAAGGAGGTTGCAGTAGACTTTTTGAAGGGCTTGTGATCTTTAAAGAAAAGTTTAAAAAACTGAACAATGCAGAGCTCAACTCCAGTCAGAGAAAGATTACTCAGTAAACATTCTGTTTTTTTTTTTTAGTCGTGCACACAACTTTCTGGAATCTAAAAGGAGAGATCCAAATAATGTTTGAGTTGGACTTTTTAATTTATAAAAGGCATGTGCTGTGTATCCTGCTGCAGAGATGTTTCTTTACGTTCACTTGTCTGCAGCGTTTTTGAACCGTAACACCAGCTTGGCTCATTTAGAACTCCAGTTTATGTAGTACCACATCGATGGTCGTATCCGTTTCCTAGTACTAGTTAAAGTGGAAAACCAAATAAAAATGGAGCCATGGGAGCAATGGAGCAAGTCAGATGCATCCATGTTGTAGAAGCCAACAATTGTCTATAAAAAATATTTTTAGTTTGTCTAAACGGTTAATTTAGTCCAGATTCAGGTTGTGAGAGCGTGTTTAACACTCTAGGAACCCAGCTGCACAATGAGAATTTATTGTAACATTTGATCCGTCTGTTGCTGCAGGTGGTGATGATGGTGGGACTTCCTGGCTCTGGGAAAAGCCTCTGGGTCCAAACTCACATGAAGAAACATCCAGAGAGGAAGTACAGACTGCTGGGAACAGAGGAGCTGCTCGCATGCATCATGGTCAGTCAAAACTTCAGGTTTTCTTTTGATTCATGTTTAGAACTGAAAACGATTAGCTGAGCTGAAGTGTGTGTGTGTGTGTGTGTTTATATAGAGTGGGGGTCACAGAGACAACAGGCTGCAGCAGGCCTCTCAGTGTCTGACCGAATTGATCAAGTTGGCAGCAGAAACCCCTGGAAACTACATCCTTGATCAGGTAACTCCACTAAATTTAAAATAGATTTAACCTTGGAGTGACATGAGCTCTGAACTCACCTGCAAGGTTCAGTTTGACAGTTTCAAGGTTGTCGTTTGCACAGAAAGATGTTTTCACCCTAATCCTCTCCGTTCCCAGTGCAACGTCCTCGTCTCTGCACGTCGCTACAAGCTGCAGCTGTTTGCGGGCTTCATGCGCCAAGTGGTGGTGGTCTTCCCTTCAGCACACGAGTGGAGAAGACGACTGTCCCAGCATCGGATGAATAACGGAGAGCACATCCCTGAGACGGCACTGCTCAAACTCCAAGGTGATACTTATTTTATAAGAAAAGTCAAGTGAACTGAATGTTAGGATGGTACAAAATGCCCATTTTGATATATTGATATATTAAACCTCATTCAGCAACTTCCTACGGAGAAAAATAACTTTAAGGAAAACAAGAAGTACTTATGTTCTGTTAGTCAATGTGTTAGGCATGTATTAGTGTGATACTCCAAAGAATAAGTTTGTATGCCAGTTAGAATTTCTTGAAGTAGATTCAGCTCAATGAAAAAATCTTTAATGTGTTAATAAAGCCCTCCTACAAAATAAAACGGTGCAATCCATAGATGCGGTTTAGATTGCGTAAAACGCTTTTCACCTAAGAGCCTAAAAACAGTTACAGTAAAAATATTTTCTCTTTCCTCAGTTAGCTGCAGCCTTCCAGAGCCACAAGCTGACCTGCTGGAGGAGTTGCAGTATGTCGAACTGTCACAGGAACAAGCACAAGCACTCCTGAAGGAGTACAAGGACGAAGCTCGCAGACTGCTGCCCCCTGTGCCCCAACAAGAGAAAAAGAAACCACGATTTAACAAGAGGAGACGCCACCTTCAACTCCCACCACCCTCACAGAGGACCGGGCTTTATGGTTGGCATGAGAAATGATAGATCATATTTTAGAAGATGCTACATTCAGAGGTAATGGCTGATGTTTTGTCTGCAGGTTGGAATGATGGAAGAACCTACACGCAAACTTGGAGCCAGCAGCCAAGATATGTGAGTATCATCATGCAAAGCGAAAACCAGCCGGCAACACATTTTTTGTTTGAGGACCGTTCTCAGAAGGGATGTCTTTTTACATTTTTTAATTAAATGCTTTGTAACTTTATTTAAAAAAAAATGTACAGATTTATTCTCTGTGACTCAAAACTGAATCAAGCTAGATGCATTGCATTTCCTGTGAAAGTGCAGTGTGAATGCTGCCTTACTGCAGAGCAACTTGCTGAAAAATACCAATAAAGTTCATGCTCAATAATCCAGGTATACAATCCAACAATTTTCAGTCAGGTCATCTGGACAGTTTCTTTTTTTGTGTGCTGAAACGTTTCACCGTCCATCCAGAAGGCTTCATCAGTCAAGGAAACACAACACAAAACTGATTCTTCCCCCAACAGCTTACTCCAAAGTGGAACAAACCAGTTATGTTGGTGCTAAGATGGTCTCTTTGGCATGCCCCCTCCTCTGGTGCCGACCCTCTCCCTCGTCGGCAGTCATGTCAAACTGGTTCAAAATCAAAAAAAGTCCATCTTAGCACCAACATAACTGGTTTGTTCCACTTTGGAGTAAGCTGTTGGGGGAAGAATCAGTTTTGTGTTGTGCATTTCCTTGACTAATGAAGCCTTCTGGATGGAAGGTGAAATGTTTCAGCCCCCAAAAAAATGTCCAGAGGACCTGACTGAAAATTGTTGGATTGCTGAAAATTAGCTGAAACTAGCTTAAAAAAAAACCATTCTGAAATGTAGCTGGAATGGAAGAACGAGCCTAAATTAACAGATGCAGAAAGAACGCATATTTGCTGAATTAGGTCAAAATAAGCAGAAATGAGCACAAAAATTAGGAAATTAGCTAAAAAAAAAAAAAAAAAAGCTGAAATTAGCTAAAAGTAGCTGAAAAGGCAGAAAGAAGCTTAAATTATCAGAAGGAAGTGGAGCGAGCACATTTTTGCTGGATTAGGCTGAAAAAAGTTGAAATTATGGAAAAAAAATGTGGAATTATCTGAAAAAGCTAAAATTTTCATAAAACAGCTAGTTTCAGTTATTTCAGCTACTATAGCTGAAATAACTGAAACTAGCTGAAATAAGATGAAAGGAGCATAACAAGCTGAAATTTGCAGAAATAATTTATTTGTCTAAAAGTAGCAGAAATTAGCACAAAAAAATTGAATTTATCTGAAAACAGATGAAAATAGCTAATATATGCTAAAAAGGTAGCTGAAAAGGCAGAACAAGTTTAAATTAGCAGAAGAAATAAAACATGTTTGTCCAATTAGGCTGAAAGAAGCTGAAATGAGCACAAAGAAGTTGAACTTATCTGAAAAAAGCTCAAATTTGAAAGAAAAGTGCTGAAAAGTAGCTAAAAAGGCAGAAAAAAGCTTCAATTACCAGAAGGAAGTGGAGAGAGCACAATTTTGCTGAATTAGGCTGAAAAAAGTTTAAATGAGTTCAAAAAATGTGGAATTAGCTGAAAAAGTTAAAATTAACATGAAAACAGCTAAAAAAGTAGCTTAAAAAGCTGAAACTTGCACAAATACGGTAAACTTAAAGGAGTATAAGCTGAAATTAGCAGAAAGAATTTAGCACAAAAATGTAAACATGTGGAAGAAAAATGGATCACAATAGGGTGAATGCTTCATAAACATTCACACTATTATTAACAGGGGAAATTAAAATATTGGTGATGAATATAACTAGTTGCTATTTTATTTTTACACATTTCAGCCTTAATATAATTAAAAATTGTCATTCATTCAACCTTTATTTAGACAGGTTAATCCCATTGAGCCTCGAGGACTCATTTACATGAGACCTGATTTCAACAAAGAATGATGACAACAATAGACAGTAATAAAAAGGCATACAGGTTTATTTATTTATTCTTTTACGAATAAGATGGCAAAAAAGTAGCAAAAACATCTAGATCACAAGGCAAATGTAGAGACTAAAAACAGGAACATGTCTGCGTTGGTTTTTGCCAGGAGTCTAACAGATTCTTAAAGCCACGGTCAAGGTCAAGAGCTTCAGATCTTTTTGCATGATATTCAAATAATTTATCTATTTACAATTTATTTATTTAATAATTTATAATAATTTATTTAATTAAAAAATTATCATAATAATTTAAAACTGAATTGAAATGAATAATTATCCTTTGATTGCATAGAAAAATGATAAAGACTGTATTAAAACATTTATTTCTGATTAGATACAACTAAATGCTTAATTTGTGTCACTCTAGGTTATTTTAGCTTGAACTAACCAGTTAATCAGATCATTTTAAATAAAACTTGTGTTTGGCTTTTGAGTTCCTTTTTGCACAGAGCTGCTTTTGTTTGTTTTTACACCTCAGCTGCATTTTTCAGTCAGAGTCAAACCCCTTCCATGTTGACTTCTCACATCACTGTTCTGTTTGTGTTCTTTCAGTGCAGCGTACCTTACCAGGATCAGAGTTACAGCTACTGGTAAAGAAATCTGGGGGGGGGAGTGGCTGCTGCTGCGGATGATAACACCACTGATGTCAAATATCAGCACCGTTTTAATGTCCGGAGATAAATATTGAACTTTCTGCGTCGACATTCAAAGATTTTTGTTATTTCAGTGACAAAAAAAAACTTTAAAGGATTTTTTTAAAATTCAAAGTATTTTGATAAATTTAAACTCGTGTTTGTATACAGTACAAAAATGGATAAATTTACAGTATTTTGCAGAGTTTTAACACCAGTGTTGAAGTGAATAAATCTAACTTGAACACTTGGAGCTGGTCTGGTCTTTTGTATCCACGTTGCGATGCGGTTTTCTGGCCGCCCGCTCCTCATCGGGTTTCACCGTCTGATAAAGAAGCACGGCTCCTTTTGCTGAGGGACACATCTCTGACCAAAGAGGGCTGCTTCGGTTCAGCTGCAAAACCTCCTGCAACAACCAGAATTGACTTCACAATATGTCAATAACTTGTGCAGTTTACTTCCTGTTGTACTCTACTGTGGACTTCAAGCTGAAACAGGACAGCTTCTTGTGGAGATGAGCCACAGGAAGTAACTCATCAATCAGTAGCTACCGACCGTTCTGCTGAGGAAGACGACGTCCGTGGACTCGTTGGCCTCGGCTCCTCCTTTCCAGTATAACTTTCTCACTTCATCAGAACGCAATGAGCAACTGAGGATGCACAGATAAGTGGCTTAGTGTTATTTATAAAGTTCTTTATAATAATGCAAGTTCACAGAAACACATCTGGAGATTGATCTAATTTGAATTTATTAGATCTTTATCAGTTGTGGCGACTTAAACCAGGTGGTCATGCCAGTTTCTATAAACCACCAAGATCTTTAAAAAGCTTTTACCTCCCAACAGCTGACTTTCAGGGGATTAGGATGTTAATATTAGTTTGCCATTTAATTAAAAAGAAGCTCTTCTTCAAAGTGTTGGCTACTATTTTTCTCCAGTTGAGTTCCTGTTTTTGCGAAACCATTCGTCAGTCTATATTTTTAGATCAGTAAACTGACTAATATATTTTCGTTGTGTAATTAAACAGACTTCCTCCCAGAAGCTATACAGAGGAGCTCAGCTTTAGAAGAAAACAGACGTTTGTTTCTGAACAAACCTAACGTAGAACTCGGCGCTCGGCCTTCCAGCACTGGTGTGATTCAGAGCGACGCCCATCAGGACGGGCACGCCGAGCGAGCTCACGGGAATATTCACCTGGAAACAGAGCGGGTTTACAGTTATTCACGTGTTGGCTTCTGCAGGGGTCGCCACTTTGAGCAAACTCGCATGAAAGGTTTGCCAATTGTTTTACGCCAGATGCACTCTCTGACGCAACCTGAGCTCAAACCTGCAGCCTCGGAATTACGAGACTGCGGCATTGACCACTGAGCTACCACAGCCCCTGAATGTTCAAAGTTATTAATGTCCTTAAAAAAAGATAATTTGACAGAACCATCTTTATCAAGAAAGCTACTACGCTGAGTTTCACTAAATTTGGCATTTCGGTAAAGAATTAACACAAAGTGTAGAGGCCAAGCCAATGCTTTAAGCCACTGAGGTGATACACCGGGGTATTGTCGACGCGCTGATTGTTACCTTGTCAGATGAATTAAAAGTCAGAGCCGTCCTTGCTCGTTTGCAGGTAATCCATTTATTCTTTACGTTTCATCCGTGTCCATTTAAAGGCAATACATATTTCCACAACGTTTCCATCCGTTTACAACACAGGTTCATATTCAGCGGTCAAAAAACTGTTTCCCCCTTTCGGGTGGAACACCTGACTCACAAAGAAAAAGGTTCCTACTATATAGACAGCTGATTACCCACGTGACCTAATACCCATTCACAAATATATTTATTTATCACCTGCACATACACAAAGCATTTAAATTTGTTGGCTCAGCGTCAAAATCTGCAACATGGAGTAATTAATTTCTTTTTTCAGATGACTGGATTTTTGTTTTATGAAGCGAGTTCAAAGCTCATTATAATTTAGATACATTTAATGTAACCAAACCATCATCTTTGTAATTCAAATTCAATTAAATTTAAAATACATTATTAATCCCAAAGGGAAATTAAATGTTGTAGCTCATCATCCTGGTTTCATTAAGAGTTGCTGATGGTTGTGGGCAGGAAGGATCTGCAGCAGTCCGTACCACAGTGGATCTGAAGAAACTGGCTGCAGATGCCGATCGGTCCATCTGGACCCAGCAGGCCTCTCGGTCCTCCTGGGCAGCAGGACCACCTGCGATGGCCACTCCTCTCAGCAGCTTGTTGAGCTCCTCATCGTCGCAGCCAGCCAACTGCAGGTGTCACGGGATGATCCTGGTCTTCTTCTTGTCATGAGCCACGTTTCCTGCCAGCTCCAAGGATCTCAGCATTCTGTCACTTGATCAACTCCGCCAGGTAGACGGCGATGCATCCACGGCACCTCCTTTACAACTCATTTGGGATTTGGGGCTGCATTTGAGGTACTATTTGAGCTTTGAGATATTAATCAGCTGCTCCTGGTTGTAACAACAACCTTGTCGTGGTTACGCTTCATAACAAATGTCCATAAGTAAAAAGGTTTTCAGTGAAAATCCTTCCAGCTGCACAGCATCTGATACCAGAGAAGTAATCACCCCCCCCCCCCCCCCCCAAAAAAAAAGCCATTCAGACAAAAAAAGAGGAAATAAAGTTTTCAAAAGCAATAACCCCAGAATGAATGTAACAGCTACTCCCATGCAGCCACCTTGAGCAGCGCAATTCTAGAACAATTCTTGACCTGAATGAGTAACTTCAATCATATTTTTAGGTCCTTGAGAGATTTCAATTAGGTTGGAGCCACATGAAGCAACAACGACTTAAAATTTGTTGACAAACCCACCTCATCTCTGATCTCTGCACACACCGAGGAGAACAGCTCTGAGACGATGGCTTCCGGTCTCTGCTGCATCTTAACCACACTGATCTGCTCCTCACACACCTCCTGACCCAAACGCTCACACACCACCTGTGGAGAGCAGAGAAAACATAAATAAGAAACACACACAGTCTTTTCATGAAGTGAAACTTTAATTCCCTTTACCTTGGGCTCTGGGTGACCTCCAGGAATGTCCAGGAGCCCACCGGCCTCAGCCACTTTCTGGCTCCTCCTGATCAGCACCACCTGACCGTCATCAGTGCACATCACTGCGCCCACACCGAGAGGCTGGGCCAGCAGGGCCAGAGGATCACCGAACTCCTCCTCTCCATGCCGACGGAGCTCTGCCACTTGACATGACCAGTTTGTTCCAAGGTAGTCCTTGTAGCAGGTGAGGCCCAGTCTCAGAATGAGGAGCGGCCCGGTGTGTGAGTGACAATCGGCTGCAGAGCCCGTTGATCCTCCAAAACTTTCTGTCTGATTTATACAACCGTTCTTCACGTCCACACCATGCCGAGCTGCATCACCATCCCCTCTTTGCTTTTCCTGCTCCTCTGCACAGTGCAGGAGGGGGACACAGGAGGCCTGAGTGTAATGTGGATGTTTTGGGGAGGCCAAGCAGAATGAATGCAGTCTGAATTTGGCGCCGTTAAAAAGCCACGGCTCCTTGGATAGCCGCTCAGCCCAAACCTCTTTTATGTGATGCTCTAGATGCAGATCTGTCTGCCTGTTAAATCTAAGATAAAAAGAAAACACTTCTGAAATGATAACAATTACATTTTTGTTTGTATAATTTTACTCAATGTTAAGTATACAGCAACATAACCACATGCACGTTTGTTTAAATGAACAGGATGAAACACAAATACCTTTCAGAAAGCTCCACTTGTACTTGAGTCTCTAGCAGCCCCCTCCAGTGTGCACAGTGCAGCAGCACAGACACCTCAGGGTCCATCATGTTTCTCTGTGGATGCGAGTCTCAATCATCTGATGTTGATGCAGATCTGTAAGAGGTGATCATGCATTTAAATAATACAATGTGGTAGCCAGGTAATAAAGTGAAAAATACAATTGAGGGTTAAAATAAAAAAAAATAAATTCAGATGTAAATCATTTTGTCAGTAGTGAGATTTTTTTTTCTCTCATGTCTCAACCTGCTCCATCCAAAACAATCACAAACTGTATCATGAAATAATAATAAAATAAAGTGCTATGGGTTGTCATCATTGTATGTTCCCATACAATGGCAAAACTGGTTCTATGCATTTAACCCATCACACCTGGAATAAACCCAGGTGGAGCAGTGGGCAGCTAAAGCAGCTGAAGTGTCTGAAAATAGCTCAAATGTAAAATGTTACACTTACCAGACCAATGTTAATTTTCTTATCTAATAATTTTCTTCTGTTCAGGAGTCTGCAGTCAACATGTGAGTGATTCACCATGAGTTGTTGCTGGCTCCCACCCAGAAAAAGATGACAAACTCATCATTTACACAGAGTTATATTGAGAATGTGCAACTATTTGATTGGTCTAAACATCTGGGGAGGTCCTTTAGGCCTCATTTAATGGCTTTTCAGGTTGGACACTCCTGGGGACACCATCCAATAAAACACGGCTGTGACAACATCCTGTTGAAGGAAGACACCCACACGACCCCATATTTCTGACGAATGATTCCCTTATATGGTAAGAGGAAGCATTTGTACAGTTTGTACTTGTGAGTTTCTCTGTTTATCAACTTATCTTGTGACTACCTCCTTGAATCAGCTGTGTTTATCACTAGGTCAAATGAGAGCTTCAGTGTATCTATCAGCAAAAAACAATCACCCTCTGTCTGACACATCTAGAATGGGATGTTCAAAGAAATTAAGACTTTATTGTTACTGTTAACATAATATGATGTCATCAAATAATTTTAATAACCTAACACCAGACAGAAGCCTAATGTAGGTCATGTGACTCATAAGGTTTTTTTTAAGCGCTTTGTTTACACTGAGTGTGGACCCACACTTCAGAATTACGTTTAATACTACTGGATTAAACTACCGGGATCAGGCGTTTTTGTGTTTGATTTCGTACTTCGTAATGCTTACCTTTAAAATTATTCAAAATAACTTCCACTAAGGTTTACAAATCATCAACATTTCAGTCAAAACCAAAGTCATATGCAGCTGTCCTGCAGAAGTAAAAAAAATTGTTTCAAAAGGGAACTTATTTCAATCAAGATCGAAGAGTTTTAACCGTGTAAATTAGATTATTACACCTGCAAATGCAGCAGGCAGAAATTACGCAAAGTCCTAAAACAACACTGTATTGTTTTTAACTTATATAGCCAGAACAAAAGTGTTTAAAACCTAAAACTTGTAATCAATTGTCTTACCTTTTATTCGATGTGTGTGATAAGAGAGTGAAAGATAACCGGTTTGCTTCTTCCTCTTTCTTTTTTAGTCATTTCTGGTGTCAAACTGTGCTCATTATCGCCACCAAGTGGTCAAAGATGAGAACTACTTTACGGTGACGTCTCACTTCGGTCCATTTTCTTGACGTTTGTCAAAAAAATATTAAGATGCATATAAATGCAGACGATTTTAAAAATCGATTACGTAAGTAAATAAATACTGATCATGCGTCTTTCTTTACGAAAACTCGGCAGACAGATCTCACTGGTAATCACAGGGTTAACAACAAGGGGCGTGTTTTTAAACTGTGACGTCAGCAAGCGCAGCAGCAAAATCATCAACTTCCGGTTATATTCAAAATAAAGTACCCGCAATGAGCCGAAGGTAGTTCGAAAACATCAATTCAACCTTTATTTAGACAGGTTAATCCCATTGAGCCTCGGGGACTCATTTACAAGTGAGACCTGATTTCTTAACAAAGAGTGATGACAACAATGGCTAACAATGACAACAATAGACAGTCATAAAATAGGCATACGCATTTGAGTATCTTTTTTTCCTTTTTTTAATCTCTAAAAATCTAGAACATGCTGTTTTATTATATCCAGTGATATTTTTGCTGTCTAAGATAATTTTGCACTGCTTTGTTTCTATAAGTATAGAACATTATTGGTTTGGTTTGCCCTTGTGACAAATTTGCCCTTTATTTCGAAAAGTAAAGTTTGTTGTTTTTTTTAGCCTATGCTAACTAGCTATGCTAACCTGACTGTTCTGTTAGTGTTCTGTTACAAAACTGAGTTGGTCCGGTATGTCACCTTTTCTACCACAATTTTTGTTATATTTCTAATTTCATTATGACATTGGGCTCAGTTTTTCTCTGTACTTCAGTAATTTAAGCTACATTAGACCGTTTTTACAAAGCTAAGACTTTCACAAATTGTTGTTGGGACTCCTCAAGTGTTAGCATTAGCAGATAACAAACCCTCTTCCCGGTTGTCTTGTTTGATTTTTTTTCTTCATGACAGATGTGTTTATTTAATGTAATAACTGGTGATACGTATTGTAGTATTGTTGGTACGACACTTGAAAATAATATATTTTTAAGTAAGTCAAAGTATAATGAATTTGTCCCTCAAAAAACATGATACGTTGATTTACAGGTTATGTGTTGTGTTGTGTTTCAGTGACTGTTTTGGTTGATTTGTTATTGTATTCACCTCATTTTGTGTTGAGGTTTTCAGTCATGCGCTGACAGATGTGGAGACAGCTGCTGACGTGAACATTTTCAATGGAAACACAGTGACGGGTAAAACAAACAGCTGGCTCTCTGGCATGGGCCCCTTACTGAATTACTTGGGCTGGAATTTTTCATTTTGTAAGTATAACTTTGTGGTAAAAAATTGAGTTGACAAAGGCAACGTCATTAAATAAAATCTAAAACTTTCAGTGATATAAACAAAAAGTTTTAATATTTACTTTTTGGATACAGACAAAGAAATAAACATATTCACATTTAGTAAATGAAAATCAAAACTGTCCATACAGTTTATCTTATGGATTTGTTATCGAGTCAGTCACAATCTGAAGATCTGCAGTTTTTTTTCATGTCTTAGGTTTGAGGTTTACTTTTTTGTTTGTTTTTGTATTTTAAAAGCCCCGATCCTTAATCCTAGACAGCGCTAAAGTTGAGTTAATTCTTAACTTAAATGCAATTTGTACACAATGTGATAGTTTTGCAAACCCAGTCTCATCATTTAAAGCTTCTCTGAACAGATGTTTAATTGAAAGCCTAGTATTCCTTAAGGATTGCATATTACTCATTGCTGTCTTGCATGGTAGAATTTTAAATTAAAATACTATTTTTTTAAGAAATGTCAAGATTTAAAGCCATTTTACTAAAATAAAATAAAAATGTGCATGATGTCAAATGATATTGTGAGATCTTATGTGAAATCTGTTAGTGCTCAGAGTGTGTTGAAAATGACAACCATGTACTGCCACATACAAGTTGAGGTCAACATCAGTAAAATGGACAGATTTATAGTCACTGTGGCAGCCATCTTGAATTGGGTTAATTCCAAAATGTAATCAGTTTCAGACGTACATTCAATATGCATTTCTAAGAGTTTCATTAAAATCCACTCAGTAGTTAATTTTCATTCAACCTTTATTTAGATAGGTAAGTCCCATTGAGCCTCGAGGACTCATTTACAAGAGAGACCTGATTTCAACAAAGAAAGATGACAACAATGGACAACGATGAGATACGATGATGTTAATGATATTTTGCTAACATGACAGACAGACAAACCTTGCCTTTCACCTTTTGGTGGCAGGTGATATTTTGAAACACTCGAACAAAAAGTCCTGCTATGCTCTTTCACTAAAAGCAAATTTAGAATAATTGTTCCTAAATTATACAGCAAGATTTTGTTTTGCTCCCTTAGCGCTTATCTTTCAAATTGTAATTATCTTTGCTCCATTTGTTCTAATTTGCTTTTGTATTTCAACTACCAGTAATTCTTAATTATCTCCGACTCCCTTGTTGTGCAGGACAATTTTATAAAAAAAAAAAATTGTCATCATGCAGTTGAAGGTACAGCTGCGAATATGCCAGAGCTGTATTTTATACCGCAAGATTGGACTACAAAAGTTGTACCGCAGCTACACACAAAGGTGGGTATTTTATACGCTTCTATTTGTGTGTGGAGTTTAGGTCTAACCACTTAAAGCTGATAAGTGTTTGTGCACGCCGCAGGTTTTAACACCTGCTTAGTTTTGAATTATTTGTTTTATCACCGCAGAAAAGCTGTGAACTACTATGACATGCTGGGAGTCAAAACAGACGCCACCTCGGATGAAATAAAGAATGCATTTTTTAACAAGTCTAAGAAGGTAGCGCCTGCAGTTTTTACAAATTTAAACCACAAGAGGGCAGCCTTTAAGCATGTGGATTGCTCACGGTTCCCACAGTTTGCTTTCTGACTAGGGCTTCCAGTGTAAATAAGGATAAAGATGTGTATTTATGTTGTGGTTCTGGTAGAATTAATGGGAAAAACAGCTCATTCTTTATAAGGGGAAAAAAAGAAGCTTGGTTGGGAATTCAAATTGTGCATGCATATTTATGTGTACCAGTGGAGGCAGCATGCCCAGATAACCAACCGCATGCCTCCACCAGAATATCTTTTTAGTCAACGATGCTCATCACTGACTCTGGCCTGTTTGTCTTGCAGCTGCACCCAGACAGTGATCCATCAAACCCGGCGCTGCACAGCCAGTTTGTGGAGCTGAATGAAGCCTACAGAATACTGAGCAAAGAGCTGAGCAGGAAGGAGTACGACTTGAAACTCCACCGTCCGTACAGTGGAGGCCAGGCCTTCACATCTACTTCAGGTCGCAGCACCTACGGAAGGTGAGGACTCAAAAACACATCATTTGTAGGATCTTTTTTCCACCACCACTCTTATATGTCACTAATTGTCATAATTATTTGCTACTTCTCTATCAGTCCTCATGCTCAGGAGAACATTCATTACTGGGAGCAGTTTCGTCACGCTCAGAATCCAAAGAAGACAGAGGAGGAGGTGCAGTATCAGAAGAGGAGGAACTTGCGCCTGATGGCCTACTGCGTTGTTGCTATGATGCTCAGCCTCGGAGTCCACATGGTCCTCTACAAGTAAATATTTGTATGATACTTTGTTTCAGGAAAGACACATTTATTAAGAAGTCGTTGTGCATGCAAAATTCCTCACAAAAGAGTTTTACTCAATAATTATTGGTTGTTAATGAAAGGAAAAAGAAGATGAATGTATTCTTGTCCGCGTCTGTTTGTTACCAAAACATTTCATGAATCAATGAACACATCCTAAAAGGAACTTGCACAAAGTAATCATTTAATGTACATCTACAACTGATGAGCCTTTGAAGTCAACCCTGTCCAAGATGGCTGTCAACACAGTAGAATTTTAACTGTGCAAGCAGGATGAATTTGTATGAATAAGTATTTCAAGGTAGTAATAGAATCTAAAACGCGCGTGATATATATTGCACACAACTAACAAATGCTGAACAGGTTGTGTGACAGGTGAAATAGTGACCTAAAATTCATTGTGGTAGTAGCTGAGAGTCATTCACGACATACAGTGCTGTGAGTGTTACATTCTGCGTGACACTTTGCATAAATTTTCTTTTACAGTTTTACTAAAATGGCTACAACTCTGTCATTTCTCGACATTAATCATCTTCATCTAAAACTTTGTTCTGAAAAACGGCAGACAATATATTCTATTAAAGAATGGCAGGCCTTTAGTTTTAGTCTGCTATCATCACCCTTTTGGCGTTACTTTAATCTCCTTATTGCACTCGTGAGTTTTCTTTTCTGCTCCAGCTGAATGAGGTATTTTGGAGACGTGACTCTGTGCCATGTGTTCGGGCCCAAACTCACGACTCATTTCCTCGTATTTGTTTCCACACAATGACTCGGTGCCACTTGTGTTTGTTGAGATTCGCCTCTTTGTGATCTGAGCAGCTGCTACAACAGCTGAACAAACTCATAAACGCAGAGTGCCTGCTGACCACTGAGGCTCTTAGGTCAAGCAAACATGTATCCTGAATGGCGTTTCTCCGACTCTTTCAGGATACTGAAAAAGGTTCACACTAACTTCATGGATGAGAAAGATAGAGCCATCACAAAAATGTACAACGAGGCCAAGGAGAGAGCTCGGTGAGTTTCTTTTATTGCCTTTGATGCTGAATTCGGCTTGGAGTGGGGAATCTGTTTGAGTTTTCTAATGCTCGAAGCTGAATCTGTCATGTGTTGCTTTCTAGGATCAACGGGTTAAAGAAACAGAACGAAATCTTGCTGCAGAAACACGCTGAATTTCACAAGTACAAAATGCACAACGGTGGACACGACAAGTAGGAGATTCTTCGGCTGTGATGGTGGAGCTGCCAGCAGGTGAAAGACGTGGAGTACGTGGGACTAGGTTTAGGACTATTGTTTGTTTTTCAGACTTTCTGTGCCTGTTTTGTCCTCAGGTGTCATCCTGACACACAGATTGTGGTTGGAATGTGTGAGAGGTCTAATCTGCTCACACAGGTGTTGCTGTCTGAATGCACAGAGCTGTACATCACCGGGCCGCTCTGTTTAGATAATAGTTGATGTATTGATTGAGGCGATGTGAGCGTAAAGGGTTCCAGCTTCAGCTGCGTTGCATACAAAGCTAACATTAGCACTACGCTGAAGTTTGACACAAAGGTGGAGTTTTATGAGCACCATCATGTTCCTGAAAGGAACTGATTGAAGTCAAGCGTCCTAAAGGATGCTTCATCTTGTTTCCCAGGTTTTATGAGCCTCAGGCTGTTCTGGAGGTGCGCTCTTTAAATAAAGAGTCTGCAGAGTTAACGTGTTCCAAATAAAATAGTTTATTTAATTTTGTTTTGGGCCTTCTGACACAATTTTCTTTTTGTTTTAAACAGAAATAATGAATGACCAATAACGGTATGATTTTGTAAAAAGAGACGCATTAGAATTTATTTATTGTCAATTCAATGTAAAAAAAATAAATGGATTATACAAATGTATACTTTTAGGAGATAAAAGTGGATTCTTTATAGTTCATTTGGATGTTAAGAGCCAACATTTACCTTTTTGGTTCTCTGTTTTTAGGCTTGTTGGGGTTTATTATTTGACTTTGAATGACTTATATTCTCTGGAAGCGCATCAGAAGAAAAAAGATTAAAAGTTTAACATTTTCTCAATAATCGTTACTTCCTGTTTGTTTCTTTTGACCTAATTCTGTCTACAAATCTATTTTAACTGGCAAATGACCCTTTTACAGATATCCTCCATAGTGGAATTCATTTCCTCGGCTTGGCCAGCTTTAAATAGCTACTTTTTAAAGAGCAACTGCTCAGTAAAGTCAGTAATGTTAATAAATTATTTCTAAGTTCCGTTTTAGAAATCCAAACTATTCTTCCATCACGTCAGTGGTCAGAATTTATGAGAGAAATCAACCTTTTAATCCTGAAATAAAATAAGAACTGTATTTATTTGTAACTCCAGGAAGCAGCTGCAGGGCTTCTGATTTAAAAGACTTGATGTCTGAGTTGTGGCTTTTCAACGAGAAGAAGTGACCGTTTTCCCCGTCAGTCCTCGCCAGCGGCCCCCGCCCTGAGACGTCAGCAGGAGATAACATAGTGTCCCCCCCGCATCGCTCACAGACACCCTCACCCTCATGTGGCGTGTGAGTGCCCTGTCATAACCCAAACACACCATAATGACTGAGATTATGGTGTTGGCGTGCCTCCACACACACACACACACACATAAAATAATGAAACACGAGGCTCCTGGGAGAGGAGCTGCTCCACAGAAGAAACACTTTTAATTGACTTTATGTTCAGTTTAATGAGATGCTGAGCAATAAAAAGCTGTCAGTCCAGCTGTTGAATAATACTCCGCCCTGTTTTTATTATTTTATTCTTCAGAGGACAATGTGTTTAATAAAAGTCCTTTTCTTTCTGTAGCGAACTGAAACGCACGTCACTTCCTTTACTCGTACAGATGAAACAAATGTTTAATCTGGTTTGAGAGATTGAAGCAGCCCGTCTTTGGATTAGACTCAGAAGTGAAAACTAATGTTAATTCACCACCTGAGTTTAAAAAAATCCTTTTATTCCTCCACTGCAGCCTGAAATCAATTATTGTTTTGTAGTTTAACCTCAACTATATTTCCAGTAGATTTATATGCACTTTGTTGTTGTTGTTGTTGCAACATATCACTGTAGTCATTCTAATAGTTTTTTTTCAAGTTTTGCTCCTTTTAATTTTACAGTAACTGTAGAAACCTGAACAAAATAGTCCGCTGTGATCTTTGTAGTTTCAATGTTTCTTCTGCAGTAACAAATCATTTTGTGTTTCCGAAAAGTCTTTCAGCGAATTCAGTTTGAAGCAAAGCAAATACCGTGTTTTTCAGATTATAAGGCGCACTTCAAATCCTTTAATTTCCTCAAAAATCGACAGTGAGCCGTATAATCCGGTGCGCCTTGACCTCAAATCGATTTTATGTGGTACATGGCGCTCAAAAAAAAAAAAAACTGTCAAAATGAACTTTTAACACTTAATGCACCTTATAGTCTGAAAACTACGGTATTTACATTTACTTTTCAAACGCACTGAGTTTTAGTCTTCACTGTGAAATAATTTATTTATCAGCTTATATAAAGTGCAACATCTTTATTTTACTATTTGTCTCCGAGTCGGCACATTTTACACCATCGGTAAATTACTAAAGGGCAGTGCTTTCTAAAATAAAATTAAAGTTCTCATGAAATTAAGGAACTCCAGTATAAGGGTGTGTCCTAACGAGACTGCAGCTGTTAAGAAGTTAAGATCAGAGACGTTTTACAAAGAAATGAAGTTCTACAGTTTTTGAGAGACTTTTTAAAATTATTTTGTTAATCTGAACAAGTCTGCAGAAGAAAGAAAGACAAAACATATGAAACAATAAAAGCCTTATCCTTTATGGCACCTTTCATACCAGAGTTATAGACCAAGACAATCTTATGTTGATAATTTCAGCCGAGCTTTGAGTTTTAACGCCAGCTGCAAACTCCTGCAAATCACACGATGTTACGCTCGGACTAAGAGTTGTGAATGACTCTCAGCTACTACCACACCGAATCTTTGCACAATAGCTATAAACCTGACCGAGTTACGGCCAGTTATGTGTTGACTAATGTGGTTTAGCTGTGGCGTCCATCTTAAACGGCATTGACTCCAAATGTTTAACGGTTGTAGATGTAAATCCAAGGATTACTTTCTGAAAGATTCATTAAAATCTGTCCTGCGGTTTATGAAATATTTTGCTAACAGACAAACATGGTTGACTTCAAAAGTTCAGTTTTAAACCAAGATCTTACACAGTGAGTAGCACTCGTAGTTTGTGTCGTGAATGACTCTCAGCTACTACCACACCGAATCTTTGTGCAATATCTGTAAAACCGACTGCGTTACAGCCACATCTGTGTTTTTGAGTCACGAGGCGGCGGCGGCCATCTTGATCTGAATTATCTCCAAAACCTAATAAGTTGTAGACGTACATCCTGGTAGAGTATTTCCTGGAAGTTCCATTAAAATTCATCCAGTGGTTCATGAGATATTTTGCTAACAGACAGAGTGGACTTCATACAGTTAATACTTAAACAACGATCTTGCACCGTTAGCTCTCAGAATATGTACTGGAGCTCAGTCTCAGCTACTACCACCACAGATTATTAGCTCAGCATATGTACAAATTAATTGTTCAAGCTATTTTTTGTGTTTTTTAAGGTCTGTGGTGGCCATCTTGAATTGGGTTGACTCCCAATGATGAACACACAAATTAGATTAAAATTCACCTAGTGGTTCATGAGATATTTTGCTAACAGGCACACTAATACAGACAAGGTGAGTGATATTAATCTTCTAATTAGTAGTAGTTTTTTCCCCCCCTCAGTAAATAAATTGGGCCAATTGACCAACATCTGACAATTGGGGGGGTGGGGGGGTGGGGTGGGGGTGTTAAAACGTGCCGGGTTTTTGAAGAATACTCTTGAGGCTTGACCTCTGTGTACTCAGAGGAAAACACAGCCACTCTCCCCCTCTTGCAGGGGCCCCCTGATCCCCCCCACAGTGCCACCAATAGACGCTGCACCTGTATCCAGCGCGCGCGTCCCGTTTGGAGCAAAGTTGGCAGCGCAATGGTTACGCCGCGCGCGTCTCAAGGGCAAAAAGGAAACGGAGGAGGGCGACCCACAACAAAGTGCTACCTTTGCGCTCGTGTGTGCGTGAGCGCGGAACTGCTGCAGCTGCACCTCGATGTCGGTGGAGGACTGGATCTTTATTTATAAGGAGGTGGGGAACAGAAACGGCGAGACGCGCCTGGAGAGGAAACGTCACGTTTTCATTTGGAGCGGCAGTGTGGCGAAACCGTGACCGAGCCCCGAGGGAGGGATCTGCGGCACTGGCCCCTCTGCAAACCCGCGGCTCTTCACCGGATAAAGCGTCCTGGATGCGGATGATGGGATGCGTTTTTTGGTTCTTTATTTCTGAAGACGCGCAGGATTTCTACGTTTCAGCGGGGATCTGTGTAAACCCGTGACGCCGGCTGGAACCAACATTTCTGTCCCCACCATCAGACCAAACTGCCCCACAACATAAAAACGGATTTTTTTTTAAACTTAATATCATTTACGAATAAAAAAAAAGGGGGGGGGGGGGGGGGGTGGGCTTGCAGCTTTGGTGCCAAGGTTATCTGACAGGGAGGGTGGTGTGTTAAACTTGTTGGAAACTGATCCCGCTGACGTTTCTGCTCTGAATCAGGCGCAAATGCAAGAAAGCAAAGTTAATATTCCAACAGCGATGATGCCACCCTGGGAGCGCTTCCACGGAAGGGAGACTGGAGAATGAAAACTGGATTCATGCGTCTTGAACCCAAGAGAGGGAAGCACCAGCAGCATTTATTTTATTTTTATTAATTGTAAGGAAAAATATATACTTTTATAGGTGCGTCTTTTTGGACTCGTGCACAATGGGGATTATGCTTCAAGTTATTTTAGGAATCTTTCAGTTCCTGCTGCTTACCAGAATACCGACCTTCCACGCCAAGGTATGTGTGTGTTTGACCTCAGCAGTGTGCGTGTGTGTGTGCGTGTGTGTGTGTGTGTGAGAGAGAGAGAGAGAGAGAGAGAGAGAGAGAGAGAGAGAGAGAGAGAAGCGGTCACAGTGCCACCAACATGGAGCAGGTGACTCGTTTCAGCCTGATGGACAAAGGTCTGTCTGTCATGGTCACATCTGTCAGTGACACCTGTCAGGTCCTGCAGGAGCAGCTTTAAGGATGAGATTGTGTTATTTTGGCTGCTGTCAGTAATTTCTGCAATTATTCTGGTTATTTGTCTTATTATACAGCGAATAGTTTCCTAAAGGGCGTATAGGGGTCGTTAGAAAAATGTCTACCTATTAAAAGAGAATTTATTTTGGGAGCATGAGTTGTGAGAACAAAAATCCTCCTGCAGCTTTTTTTTTTTTGCTCCTAATGAGAGTCAGATAAAAAGTTGACTGTTTTTAATGGGAACACTGTGAACAGCCAAACTCTCGTTGCCTGTTAACATTTTTAATCCAAAGGAACAAATTACCAAAAAAGAATCAGTAAACATTTTTGCATGATTTGGATTGTCATGTTTGGAAAATTTAGTGTCTGGCAAAATGTGATTAAAAGCTTTGCAGGAAACTTTATAAAATATAACGTTGGTCTTGTACAAGTGCAACTGATAATTGGTGTCCTGAATATTATCTGAATTGTAGATTAAATGCATGAAGAAGCAGAACTTAGAGGTTGTTTTGTGGTCCTGATCAATCAGCACTATGTCAGACATGAACACAGCAGAGGTCAGAAGTTTACATTCACTGAATGTCACTTTATTTTAGTGATTTATTTGGTCCATCCTTTTTTCCCAGGATGAAATAATTACAGAATAAACTTGCTGATGTTCGACTTTGATGTTATAGATTTTAAAAAAATATATACTTTTTTTGTTGTTTCTGTCATAATTCTCTCTGAATATTTGCTCTGCAACCATAGTTTGTTTAAATGGGTTGGTTTGGGGGGGGGGGGGGGGGGTTGGTGGTGCAGAGGTTAGAGAAGCCTGTGTTCAGAAGGTTTGAACCTCCTGACACCAGAATAAACGTGATGCACCTTCACCTGGAGGATTGACCTCTGCAAAACGCTAACGTCAAACCATGAGTTTGGTTCAAACCTGGCTTTTAAACACACTTGACTCTTTTTTTGTTCTGGTTGTGGTCAGGGTTTGGAGAAGGCCATCCCAGAAGCTTGAGGTTCACCTGATTCATCCGATCAGAAACCAGTTCGGATGTGTTTCAGATCATTGTTGGAACACAAACAAAAACAAACGTGTCCAAGTTTCAACATCTAACAGTTGATGTGAGGTCAAGTCATTATTTTATCCACTTTGTGCAGTGCGCCAGTACCACGGCATGATGCTACCACCACCGTGCTTGATAGTTGGTGCAATGTTTGAAAGCCTCACCTGGACTCCTACAGAAGCGCTTTTTATCGTTGTGGTCTTATAGCTCAGTCTTTGTCTCGTCAAGCTCTAAAACCTTTCTCCACAAAAGATCTGTCTCCTCCATGGAGCTTGAAGGCATCTCTTTTTCTCAGTCGGTGCCCTCTCAGTGCACGGTGGTGTGAAAAGGGCCCCAGAGACACTGCTGTTCCAGCTTTGGAAGACATGAGCATTGGTGGTTCCTGCGTTGCTGTTGACCATAACCAATTTCCTTACATCTGAGGGTGACTGATGACTTTTGCTCAGACCGATAAATGCTGACAAATAAATCTTTTTTTTTTATGCTGGTAAAGACAAATTATCAGCTGCAGTCAGCCTTGATCACTAACCAGGTTTTTCAGCACCACTTAACAGATTTAGTTGAATGTGTGTATGCAGGATTAGAGCGGATATTTAATAAAAATGAAACTTATTTTTAAGACAAGTTCACCCTGGAAAAATAAAAACCAAATTATTATGATGCTATTCATCTTTAGTTGAACATGCGAAAACTTTAAATTGCTTCTGTATTTGTTTCATCGACAGCAAAGAAGAGTTGTTCAGCCATTGTTATCAGCGTGTTTTGCTGTGTGATTTGAACTGAGGGTTATCGTTAATAAGAAATGATTATTGATTGTACAGACATGATCCTCAGTGGGATTCATCTTCTCCTTTCTGCCCTCAAACATGGAGAAAAGCTGCATGCTCTACTTTCTTTTATTTATGTCTGGAGGCCTATATCAGGAACAGGCAGTGCTCTGAGACAGCCCTGACTCTGCGCTGCTCTAATACAGTCTCTTTTTTAGTCATTCATCATCCTAGACACTACATAACACACACACACTCACACACTCACACACACAAAGAGAGAGAAAGCCTCTTCACCTTCACACTCAAGACTTTCTGCTTTCATGCTGTCTGCTCCTTTGGCAGCTTATTAGAAAAAAGGGGGTCATCCTTCCTCTTTTGTGGTGACAAGACTTGGCGGGATAGCTAATGTGGAGGTCTTTAAAACACACACACACACACACATGGCCCATCTGTACAATGTGCTCAGGGAGTGGCTGGGAGTTAGATGGGTTAGACTGTTGACAGATAGCACTGCCAGTGCAGATGGCTCTGAGCTGGCACTTTGGAGTGTGTGTGTGTGTGTGTGTGTGTCTGACTGTGCATGCGCCAGATATGGCTGCCAAACGGAGTTAATCTTAGACTTGTCTCAAAGACTGATAGTTCGTAAAGGACACGCTTAGTCCAGTCACAAAATGGGCTCAGTTTCAATATAACCCCAGGTTGTTGAGTCAATATGGACCAAACCTATGTGTGTGTTTGTGTGTGTGCTTATGTTTCTCTGTGTGTGTGTGTGTGTGTCAATGGGGGCGGAGCACTGAAAATAAGGGCAACTGGACAAAGTCTAAATTCCCTTACAAGTGGCCTTGGTCTTCATGTATGCACAGACAAACAAGGAGCAAATAAATCCGTTTTTAGTGTCTGTGCGCTTTTTTTTTTTTTTTTTTTACTGCAGGAGAAGGCATTCAGGTCATTGATGTGTGTAAAAGTATCAGTATGGCATGGAAAATACAATTTTATTAAAAAGAAAACTTTTTAAAGCTGGATTTATGTACAAAATGTGAATTAAAGCAGTTTTAAATGTGTAAACTGTAAACATAATTTAAAACATACAGTTCAAAAACATGAAAATGTTGGTATTTTTAACTTATGCCAACATTTTGTTTTTTAGTTGTGACGGTGGAAACGGGTAAAATGATGAGTAATGATCCTGGTGGATTACCTCCCAACTAAATGAGTTAATTAGCAACAGGTCAGTTACAATATATTAGAAAAAACTCACCACTAAATGAAATGTGGACAAGTATTTCTCAAATTAAAAACCTTAACGTTAAAGACGAACAGATATTTTTAAGAGAAATGTCTGTGAAAAGAGAAAGGAACAAAAATCAAACTGAATGGCAAAATACGGGAGCCTATACGGTGTAAAACTTTTAAAAAGGCTCAGCTCTGCAGTAAGACAAGCTAGATGAAATTAGCTAAAATGTTAAAAAGGTAACTGAAAATGTAGAACAAGCTTAAATTAGCAGAAGAAAGTACAAATAACATGTTTGCCCAATTAGGCTGAAAGAATCAGAAATGAGCACAAAAAAGTGGAAATTATCTGAAAAAAGCTGAAATTAGCAACAACAAAAAAAATGCAGAAAAGTAGCTAAAAAGGCAGAAAGAAGCTGAAATTACCAAAAGGAAGTGGAGAGAGAACATTTTTGTTGAATTGGCCTGAAAAAAGTTTAAATGAGTGCAAAAAATGTGGAATTAACTGAAAAAGATAAAATTAACATTAAAAACAGCAAATAGTAGCTGAAATAGAAAAGCTGAAACTTGCAGAAATAGGCTGAAAGGAGCATAACAAGCTGAAATTAGCAGGAACAAGTTTAGAAGAAGCACAAAAATGTTTTAGTTAAAAGAAAGAATCTGAAAGAGCACAAAACAGCTAAAATAAACAGCTGAAATTAGTTTTAAAAAAATGTTTAATTTTGCACAAGGAAGCTGAAAGAAGCTGAACCAGAACAAAATGTGAAAGGAGCAGTAAAAGATTGTAAACAGATCAAAAGATATGAAGAATGTAAAATGAGCTCAATTCATTTTCTATTATTAAAAAAAGTGGCAGAAAATGCTAAGCATTTCAAAAAGCTAAAGTTGCACCAATACCACAGTCATAGCAGGATTGTCCTGAATGAGCTGAACGTTTTGATATATGATTTATTGAAATAGCACAAAATCTGTGGAACGAAAAAGATGCTGAAAAACGTACAGGGAAAAAAATGGATCACAATAGTGTGAATGCTTCATAAGCGTTCACACAATAAAGTGATTATTGTTTGGTTTCACATGTGCAAAGCGTGTGCCGAGTTTCATAAACAATGTCACCTTCTCTGAACCCCCGCTCACTTAAAACGGTCTGATGTGTTGTGTAAACCTGTCTTGTGGTGGTTTTAATCAAAGTCTGACATTCTTTCTTGACAGTCGCGGATGCTAAAGAGGAGTTGTTATCAGCAAAGATTTAAAAAGCCACCATCTGTAGCGGTATGTGGGCACATTAGTCCACAGTGGCTACTTGTACACCTGTGTAACAACCATAAATGTTGCTGTTGTCATCATCCAGAGAACACCTTAAAGCTTTGCTTATTTCAGCAAGACAATGCAAAACAAAAATTGACTGAAGGAAGACTGAATGAAGCAAAACTGTAACTTAAAACTTAAGTTAGCAAAATCGCAGCTAAAAAATATAATTGTTAAAACAATAAAGAAAAGCTAAAATGAAGAAAAACATAAATAATAGCAAAATTGAGCAAAACAACAGCTAAATAGTAATATGTAGAAAACCGAAATTAGCAAAATTGTAACACAAGCAACACTGAAGCTGAAAGTTAATTTAATCAAAACCATAGCTTAAGACTAAAATGAGCAAAAGTTGAGGAAATGTAAGCTAAAATTATCTAAACTGTTGCTAAAAATAGCAAAGCTAGCTACAAGCTAATATTTGCTAAACTTTAGCGAAAAGCTAAATATAGAAAAATGGTAGCTAAAAGGTGAAATTTGCAACAATTGTACCTAAAAGCTAAAATCGACATGACCGTAGCTAAAAAGAGCATAAGAAGACTTAAAGCACATTGAAGCACCTTTTAGAGAAGAACATTTTGAAGGAATCAAATAAATCTCAATGTATTTCTGTGGAGTCAAGTTTTGTTCATAAAGGTAAATTATTTAAAAAGCATAAAAACAACGAATGCTAATAGTCAAAGCAGTCTACTCAAGCCAAATGTTTGAAAATACAAATGGGTCAAAAAACTACAAAGTATGAATAAGTAGTTTGATTACAAAACATGTATATGAAATAAACTCAAAATAGGAAAACAGTGAAGTGAAAGCTGAGTCAGCATTCACACAAATGTAATAAACTAGGGCTGAACTAATTATTATCGCCACGTCAATGTGCTAAATATCAAATCCCAAAGGACGACTTGGCTGGCAATAAATCTGGGCCATTAAACTCCAGTTGCCATGCGATCACGCTTTGTATGCCATTGACATGTTAGACCAATCTGATGGACTCTACATGTCCTTGATGCCCACACCCGGTTCAGATGATAAAGGAAGAGATGATAAAGAAAGGATTGATGACAGGACAGAAAGAGAGGAAGGAGGAAATCACCACTGATGTTGTCCTCACCATACTCCACAATAAAACTGCACGGTAAAATGTAGTTTTAACGTTGTGCAGCCTGAACTGCAACACAAATGTACCGACACTAACTCACACATGTTGACACGTGACTGATTTCTGCTTTTCTCATTATGGATGTTTCAATGGTTAAAGAAGTGTACTTATATAGTGTCTTACACTAGAATCTGTGCCCTCATTTACACATTCATACAGCACTCTACTAGATCTTTACAAAGATTAATCAGTGCTTTATCACATTCATACACCGATGGGGCACACATCGGAGGCAATGAGGGGTTCAGTGTCTTGCCCAGGGACACTTCGGCATGTGACCCCCAACTTTTGCATTGGAGGATGACTGCTCTACCCACTCAGCCACAGCCGCCCCTAAATGTGAAAGGCCAATCCAGTGTTCTCGCACCTGTGATGGTTCTTTTAACAAAATATAAGTGGTGGCAGAAAGCTGTGATTGTTTGATACATATTTTTAGTCTGTGACTAACAAGTGAAAAAGAAAAATGTCGAAACATTGCATGTATTTGTCCTATTTTTTGGAATGAAAGCGCTTTTTTATGTAAAAAAAAAATAATAAAAAAATAAATAAATAAATTAAAAAAGGCGGGCAGCACGGTGGCGCAACTGGTAGAGCTGCTGCCTCTCAGCAAGCAGGTCCCTGGTTCAATCCCCGGTCCAGGGGCCTTTCTGGGTGGAGTTTGCATGTTCTCTCCGTGCATGTGTGGGTTTTCTCCGGGTACTCCGGTTTCCTCCCACAGACCAAAAACATGCATGTTAGACTGATTGGTAACTCTAAATTGTCCCTAGGTGTGAGTGAGAGAGTGAATGGTTGTTTGTCTCGTTTGTCTCTGTGTGTCCCTGTGATGGACTTGCGACCCGTCCAGGGTGTACCCCGCCCCTCGCACAGTGATTGCTGGACATGGGCACCAGCGACCCCCGTGACCCAAAATGGAATAAGCGGGTAAAGATAATGGATGGATGGATGGAAAAAAAAAAGCTAAATCACAAGATTACACCCTCACCTCAGAAAACAGTTGGAGCAGCTCCTCCACTGGCTGCATTGTTCTGACACCTAAGCATCCAATAATTACTTTTAGAGCATTTTGTTTAAATCTCTTCAGTGGCTCATGAGGTATTTTGCTAACACACAGGCTTGACCCTGATAGTTTCAAACAGAGATTCCACCCAGTCTTGTTGGTGCTTGTTTATATGTTTGGGTCGACTTTCAGCTACTGCCTCACCAGATTTCAGCTCAGTAAATAAAAATGACTGAGTTTTAGCCATTTTTGTGTTTGCTAATGTTGATTAGCTGTGGGGGCCATCTTGAATAGGGTTGACTCCAAAATGTAATTAGTTGTGGATGTTTGAGTGAATACTTTCTGAGTTTTATTAAATTATGTCTTTTGTTTTATTGCATACTTTCTATGGGACAGATAAACAAACACACACTATTGCATGATTGTCTACCTTTTTCTCTCTCTCTCGATGAAGACGGACGCTCTCTTTCCCTCTCCTGCCTCCCCTCCCCTACTTTGCTCTTTGTCTTTCAGAGCCCTTTTTTTGCATACCTTCCAAATTGTAAACTATGGATTTGTTCAGCTGGTCTCTCAACGCAATTGATCAAATTTTTTTCAGCAAGAAGACAGAGTGAAGGATAGCCCTCATACCTCGGAAACATAAGGGGATTTATGATAACTGGAATCTGCTTTTTGGAGTTGGAATAAATCTGGATTATTGACAGATTTGTAAATGTCAGCAGCTGTTTAAGCTGTCTGGAATGTGTGTGCTGGGATTGGCAACGCTCAGATTGTGTGCAAACTATTTGTGGACCTGTATCAGAGCGGAGCAGGCAGGACTGTGGAACTTTGTGGCAGTGTTCACGAACGAGTGGAAGGAATAGATCTTGGAGAAGTTGTAAGCCTGTCTTTGGCGTAAGTAATCGCAATTAGGCGACTAATTGTTTGGAGTCGCCATGAGATGTACTAGCAAGAATGTAAAAGGCAGACGCGGAAATTAAAGAGCTTGGCCTGACCCAAAACAATGTTGAAATCTGAATCTGGCTCTGGCCTTGGAAGGCTGACTCTCTCCATTTTCTCCAACAAGACCCCCCCCCCCCCCCCCATCATAGTGGACCTGCTGAGAGACACGGTATCATCTTTATCAGGACTATGGAAACTATCTGGAAGTGTTCATGGACAATCTCACCGTCTTGTCGTCCTCCCCTCCTGCAAAATGTATTGTGTCTCTCTATGTTTCTTGCTGAGGTAGATTTTTTTGCTACCTTACACCGTGCCCTGTGTCAAGGACACGGTGTGAGAGATCTTTTTTATATACCTTGTCTCCTCGTGTTTTCTTTGCCTTTTCTTGTCTAAGCGATAAGGGCAGCGCTTCATAGAAAGCCGCAGCCCCAGTACATTTCCGTCTACCCTTCAGACGGCTGTACGGAACGACATTTCGCTGTACTTAACTGTGCAATGACAATAAAGTTGATTCTGATTCATAGCGGCAGATAATAATAACAAAACAAAATGAAATGTCTAATAAATCTTTTATAGCCTTACATCAGTAAAAATATTATTTGTCGTGGTCAGTTGGATCATCCAGAGCCTATTAGAAATTCAGGCTTCAGGGCAAAGGCAGCAGGTGCAACTGGTCCAAATCGCCAGCAGCTCCCTCCTCCGCATCATCACCAAGGAGAAATGTGATCATGTGCGTTTTCACTTCAAATGGGGCAGCGGACCTCTTCTGCGCATGGGATCTGTTTTAAACGCGCTTCTAGGAACGCACCTTGATGTTTAATTTAGCCGTCACACCTGCTCTTACCCTCCTAACAAGTGCACCCGAGCATCAGAGTTCAGAGGTTCGGTTGGGTTCCTCTTATCTGCCACAAGGCTTTATTGAGCTTGTCGTGTTCTGATCCCAGGTGTGAGACGCTGCGGCGGTCATTAAAGAGAAATACTTTGATCTGCTGCTCTGCTCCTGCAGTGGGGTTTGCAACAGTGTCAAACCAGAGGTTGCGGACAATAAAACAGCCTTGCAGCCATTTAATGGTTTACTTTGGAAATGAATGCTGATTAGTGATTATTAACAGGCAGAGTTTGAGCCACTTCTTTTAGGCCAAATATAAAAACAAAACACTGGAGCTAAAAGACTCATGTTCATGTTTGTGCTGATGTTCAATGTTTTATGTTATGAGTGCTTAGTGTATATTTAGTTGATGTTTTTCTTAGTTCATATCTTAGATGTTATTACTGTTTTTCTTATACATTTTATTGTTGGATGTAACTGGGACCCTGTGTACATAATTTCGCTCCACCACATGTACCACATGAGGTGCGAATGACAATAAAGAAACTCTGACTCTGACTCTGAAAAGTAACAATTTTAGAGGTTTCTTCATGCAGGTTCATGGTTTTAGCTTTTTTTTTTTTAATCGCTCAGAGTCATGAAAAGTACGTTTCTTCTTTTAATGTGCATGTGTGTTTGTTGTCTGTCTCTTCACAAACAGCTTTTAATGAAACTTTTAGGACGTAATCATGGTATGTGCAACTGCTTAACCTTTGGAGTTAAATTGATTCAGTATGGTCACAACAGCGTAACAAACACAAAAATGGCTCTCGCAGTCTGTTTTGCAGATGCCAAGCTAAACTTTGGTGTGTTGCTGAGGGCCGTTTGTATCACATAATCTGAGCTTTAACAAACACGAGATCTTTATTAAAAAGTTTGGCATGCGAGCCAGCAGGCGATCTCTAGAAATGCTAGTTTCATTATACTTTAAAAGTACTTGTAAATCTTAGTTTTCATTTGCTTCATAGACCAAATGTAGTATTTTTAGAAGGTATTTAGTTGAGTTTAATTCCCATAAACTTCTCATACAATTTAGCTTCTATGTGAAGATTTTAGAAGATATTTAGATAATTACTACACAAAAGTGTGGAAAAGTAATAATCTTTACCCACTGAGCTTATCAAACTGATATGAAGCCTTTCCTTGTGGTTTGAAGGCAGAGCAGTCAGTGGTTTTTTTACAGGTCAACTTGACCTGAAAACAAACAGAAACAAGCGTTTCACATGAATTTACATCAATTTTATCCTGTTTTTCCAGCTTGCTCACTGGCGGCCTGCAGACTCCCCCAAGTCCAGAGAAGGTCGAGAAGGTAGGCTCCAAATGTTTCTCCAACGCCTTGCTCCACAGAGCTGAGTGTAAATCTGAACCGTGCTTTGTCTCTTGTGTTTCTCCACCAGTGCGGCGGTGGTTGGAGGTGTATTCCCGGAGTGGCTGCGAACCTCGGGACACTCTGGTGGAGGTTTGGCGAGAGCTGCCGGGAGAGATCCACCATCTCTTCATCCCGTCCTGCGTGTCTGTGAGGCGGTGTGGAGGCTGCTGTGCTGACGAGGCTCTGGAGTGCGTGCCTTCGCTCACGCACACACTCACTATGGAGGTGCACAACCAATACACACACGCACACACACATCTTTATATGATATGATAAAGCAGCCTTCCCACCAGCTCGGACCTTTACACTTCACGATGCAGGGGGAGGGTGCTCGCTCCGCATCATGAAGTACTCCAATCATCCTGCACACAGTCTGTTCCAGCCCCTCCCCTCAAGCAGGCGGCTGAGGAGCATTCAGAGCAAGAGCACCAGGCTCAGAAACAGTTTCTAAAAAATTTGAATCCTTTAATGTAGAAATAATGTTCTCCTGTTTATCATTTCTTTTGTACTGTACATAAATATATTTGTTTGCCATCAGGTTACTTCCACATACATTGCGCTCTATTTTAACCATTCTTAATACCAAACAGAAATCAACAAAGTCCATGCTCAATGATCCAGGTATACAATTCAACATTTTTCAGTCAGATCATCTGGACAGAACTGTCTAGATGACCTGAAGGAAGAGGGCCGGCAATGGAGGAGGGGGCGTACCAAAGAGACCATCTAATCACAAGAAGAACTGGTTTGTTCCACTTTGGAGTAAGCTGTTGAGGGAAGAATCAGTTTTGTTGTGTGTTTCCTTGACTGATGAAGCCTTCCGGATCGAAGGCGAAACGTTTCAGCACAAAATAAAAGAAACTGTCCAGATGACCTGACTGAAAAATGTTGGACCAAACAGAAATGTTCAGCTTTGTCGAAAATAAGGACTTTTAGTTTTTGTAGCTTTTATCCTTTTCAAAATAGTTAACTTTATTTAAAATGAAACTTCTCATAAAATGCATCAAGAGCTCTTAAAGCCGCTCAGAAATACAGTTTTCTTTTAAATCTGCTTCAGCAACCGGTTGCTTGTCTTCTTGTGCTACTCTTAGCTTTTAGCTACAAATCTGCCACTTTTAGACTATGTTACATTCAGCTTTTAGTTACAGTTTTTCTATATTTAGCTTTAAGCTAAAGTTTTGCTAATTTTAGACAGTGTTTTTTCTTAATTTTAGCTCTTTTGCAAATTTTAGTTGCTAATTTCAGTTCAGCTTTTAGCTTTTGCTTTTTTTAAATGCTTTTAGCTTATGCTCTGCTCATTTTAGCATTTTTTCTATTCAATTTTAGCCTTTGTTCTGCTCGTTTCAACTTGAACAATTCGATTTCACTTTTTTCTTTAAGCTGTCGCTCAGCACTCAGCATTCACACTGCATTTTGGCAGAAAAACACAATTTAAATTTTTTATTGTTTTGGCAGCTGATGAGAACGTCCTTCATGAAACACGAGCTTATTGAGCTGACCTTCGTTGAGCACAGCCAGTGCGAGTGCAGGTACGAGAAACAAACTCTTCCTGTAAATGCACGGTAAACCAGCTGTTCAATGACCTCATCGCACCTTTAACTCTTTTGTTTTTAACTGTAAGCAGATTAAAAGAACAGCTCCAGCCAACACCAACTACAAGGTAACCTTACATTTTCACTTTCTGTGTGTCTCTCTGTTATGGCTGAACTCTGTGTGATCTGATGTCCCACTTTTTAATTTTTCTATTTTCTAACATTATCTCTGATGACATGCTTATAATTCTGCTGCTGATGCTTTTTAATGAAATGGCCTTACTCATAAAACCAGCCATTTTAGATTAATCCAAAGTAGCTTAAACGTCTCATTTGAGTTTAAAACACTTCTGACTTTTCGGCTACTTGAAGCCAGAAATAACTCACCTGAACAAATTCTAAATATTTTTTATGTAAGTTCTAAAATTATGAGCACATTTTCAATAAAATACAGAAGAATAAATGTGCTTTTGTCTGCCTAAAAATGCTTTAATCAGGAAAAGTAGCAAATGATTGTGAAAACATTAGGAAGTGATCCACAAACCTTTCAGGTTTTGACCCATAATTTAATTGCTGGAGAGACCATCGCTGGTATGATCATTTCCTATAAGCCAAAAACCAAGAATATGACGACAGCACAAACAGCCTATTTATCACTTTACAACTGCTGTTCTTGATATTTTATAAAAAATATTAGAAAAAGACGTGCAATTAGAATATTTTATTTATTTATTTTATGTATAGAAATCATCTTAAGACCCCCCTCACTTCTTGTTTCACGACCCTCAATTTCCGGAACCGCTAATTAAATCTTTAAAAGAGGTTTATTCATAAAAAGGCATCGTGTATGTTCCTGTCGACTGTACTTTTAATAGTTAACAGGTTCAATACCTGAACATTGATTCTGCCTGTTTGTCAAAGCTGGAGACATCCTTGAATCTGACATATAGAAGTGCCATTTTTGATGGTGCGTTTACTGACATCAGGACGATAAAAATCTAGCTTTGAGATGAAAGCTGGCACAGTTTCACTCCTGGGATTTGAGTGAATTTGTTTTTGTTTTGTTTTTCCCGTATGGGACCATTTTTGTCAGTGCAGCTCTTTCTTGCTAAGATGATTTTGTTTCAATGATTAACCAGCTATATTTTAGCTTTAAGAACACATTTTTACCTTCATATTTACTGCGGTGCATCTCTTTAAGAACACATTTTTACCTCCATATTTACTGTGGTGCATCTCTCTCCTCGTGGTTTTTGTCACTGTGCTGCAGTAACATCCAGGCTCACAAATCAATAAAACTGGGGTCACGCAGCTCATGGGACAGAGTTTCTCATCATCTGGGTGAACCTTTGTGTGACTTCTAGTAAATCTGTAACATTATCTGCAGTGGAAAAACTGCTCATTTTTGTTGTGAAGCCACCTGAACGCACCAAAACAAATCATATCATATCATGTTCCTGAAAACAATGCATATCACCCACCGCCTTTCATGGCAGAATTTCATATTTTCATAGCTGTTTGGATCAAACTATGTACAGTAAATGAAGTTAGCGCTTGAGTATTTGTTGCAAATGATGCTCAGCTACTACAACATCAAATTTAAGCTCAGTGTCTGTAAAATTGGCTGATATTTAGCTATTTCTGTGTCTTCAAAGGTTAGCTTGCTGTGTTAGTTAAAAATCCGCCCACTGGTCCATCAGGTACAATGAGTTTGGCTAACACAAAAGACAAACAAACACAAAGAGACATGAATAAAATCATTATGACCTTTTGCTCTTTCAGCAGTAGACATGTTGGTGCAGAGGTGGTACTGGTCCAGCAGCACTGGGTTATAAATTATGTTTCTGAAAGCACTGGTTCACCAGGATAGCTCGCTATTATGCAACTCCTCTGTTAAGGTTTACTTATCTCAAGGTCAGCATGGTTTTAAAGCTGCAGCTCTGTTGCCAGCAGACAAAAACACCACCGAATATGTCGTTGCTTATTAATCTCTTCTGCCTGCAGGTTAGACTTACGATGCTAAAAGTAAAGAAACCTTCCTGTTCTGCGTGTAGAAACCTGTGAGTGACGGCTGAATTTTCTGAGAAGGAAACTTTCTTTTGGCTCTGCTTAATGTGTTTGTTTGCCTCAAACTGCCATGTTCTGACAGATAATCACATAATTGTCTCTTTAATGTTTATGTCCCCCTGTTTCCTGTTTGGACGTGGACATAAATACAGGATTCCAATGTATGCATGTGCATCTTTTCAAGACGTATTTTGCATAAAAATCACGTGTCTTGAAGTTTTCTATGCAGTTTACTGACATCTTAACGTTATATTTGCGTTTGTGCAAACTTTTATGCTTTTTTTTTCGATGGATGTTTTTATGTGTGTGCGTGTAAGAGGGAGTTAGCATCTGTGTGTCTCTCTGCCAGCCTCCCCCTGGGACAGCCCGCATCCTGTTGTCACCATAGTGATGATTTTATCTCCCCGGCCATGTGCTCTCTCACAGACAAGCAGAGCACAGTCACGCATCCATAATAGTGAATTAGAGCTCCAAAAACTAACAGCAGCTGCAGCTGTTTATAATGTCAGGTTAACACCGTCAGTTTAACTGGATAACTTTCATACAGATGATGTGAGTAGAACAGAAGTTAGAGCTTGAACATATAGATCAGAACAAGCTTATATTGCCACAGTAGTCATGTCAAACCCAGCATACTTTGAAGAAGTGAATTTCACCTTCCGCCTTTCATGCCAGAGTTTTAGACAAACATTTCTCATGATGAGAAATGATGGTGTTGTGGCTGTTGTAGCGATTTCATGCAGTTATGAAAGTTGTTATGCTCTGAGTATGAGTTGTGAATGACTCAGCTACAGCCACACCAGATTTTACCTCAATATCTATAAAACTGGCTAAAATATAGCAATTTTTGTTTTCTAAGTTCAGTTGCTTGTTGCAGCTGTCTTAAATTGCACTGACTCCAAAAGTTAATCAGTTGTAGCTTTACATCCAATAATTATTTCCTGAAAAGTTCATTAAATTCATCCACATTTTTTATTTTTATTTTGCTAACAGTCAATCAGGGTTAGCTCACACAGTTAATGTTGAAATTTTAAGTGAACATTTTGCATAACGAGTAGCTTTTGGAGTAAATGTGAACAACTCTCAGCTACAACTACATCAAATTTTAGCACAGTCTCAACAAAAGTGTTTTTTTTAATGGCTATTTGGGTTTTTCTAATGTCAGGTGGCTGTAATTAAATCATTGAATCAGGTGTGTTGGAGCAGGGAAACAACTAAAACATGCAGGATGGTGTTCCTCAAGGACCAGGGTTGGGAACCACTGCTTTCTGTATTTTGACTTTGTTGGTAAAATAAGTGCATACAGATATTTTGTACAAATTCTGAGAAACAAGTTGACGTTCAGTCAAGAATAAATTAAATTTTTGAAAATTTTGCATGAGTGCGTAGCTTTTTGAGTAAATGTGAATCAGCTACAACTCATCTACAACTACATCAAATTTTAGTGCACTCAACAAAAGTGTTTTTTCTGGCCGTTTGGGGGTTTTCTAATGTCAGGTGACTGGCAACCATCTCAAGTTGCATTTGTTCCAAGTTTTTAGGAACAGTTAAAGGACATCAAACATTTTTTTCCTCAAAGTTTCATTAATACTCGTCTAGCAGTCCATGTGATATTTTAACAGACCCAGGACTTATTGCAATTAGTAGATGGCAAAATGTCATAGAGAAAATGTGAGTGTTTTAATAGCTCGGAATATGTACAGTATTTTTCGGACTATAAGGCACACTTAAAATCCTTTAATTTTCTCAGAAATCCACAGTGAGCCTTATAATCTAGTGCGCCTTATGTATTAATTCTGGTTGTGCTTACTGACCTCAAACTGATTTTATGTGGTACAACCAGAGGTAGAAAGATTACTGAAAATTTGTAATCAAGTACAAGTACTGTTACACTGCTTAAATTGTACTCATTTGCAAGTAAAAGTACTGGTGTTATAAAAATACTTAAGTCAAAGTATAAAGTACTCTTCTCAAGAACTAGTCAAAATTACTTTCTAACCAATTGATGTTTTATTGTGTTGTCAATAGAAAATATTAAATTTGATTTACTGTATATAACTGTATATAATAACTACATTCAAAGTACATTTCTCAGACGCTCAGAAGCTCCGTCTTACTTTAGTACCAGTCAAACCAATGGCAGTGACAACATCTAAGGTCTTTGCATACTTAGCCAAACTAATAACCCACACATACAAACAATTAAAAAAACCCTATCATACAAGTGTAAAACCTCGTATACCACAATATGTTTTTTAGATTAGATGTTGAAGTCTTGTAAGCTGCTATCACCGTAGAGATCAAACAAAGTTTACATCTGGACTCTGTCTCCCTTTCACCCTCTGCACAGGAAAAATTCCCCCAGGTACGACCACGGGCACTCGTCCTCAGCCTTTACCTCCTCATTTTCTCTGTTGACAGTGTTGTCCTCTGTCTCCATTTTGGCTTTTTCTCTAAATCTTCGGTCCATAAATTACTCTACTCTACTCTGTTGTCCTTTGTTTACGTCATAGGTAATTGGTGCATTCGTGATCTGATTGACTACAAAGATGCAGATGAATGGTTTGAATATTAATTCAAATTGAGGCTGTACTCAGTTGCGACTTCTGATTTTAAAAGTAGTGAAGTAGATTACATGGTCTAAATTGTACTTTAGTATGAGTAAAATTACACACTTGAAAGAAATACTCATAAAAGTACAAGTATCCAAAAAATCTAGTTAATTACAGTAATGTGAGTATTTGTAATTTGTTACTTCCACCCCTGGGTACAACTGAACAATGTTAAGAGTTGTTGTGAATGAGATGAATAAAGTTTGATTTATCTGACTGTTCTGTTTCACTTAATGCACCTTATACATGAAAACATACCCGTTCATTGATATTGCGCCTTGTAGTCCGAATAATACGGTAGTTATCTTTGGCTTAATATCTGTAAAACTGACTGAGTTATAGACGTTTTTGTGCATTTAAAGTCCGCTGACTGTGGCCACTGTTTCATATAAAGTTGACTCCAAACGTTTATCAGTTAGATGCACATCCAGTGATTATTTTCTACAAGTGTCATCAAAAGTTGTTCAGTGGTTCATGAAATATCTTGCTACTAGTCACACATGGGCATAAAGGCATTAAGCAATAAATTTATTGTTACAGTACTATAAAAATTCCTCTGAGAGCTGTGTTATTTTTCGCTCTTAAGTGCTTCAATGAGTCACATTGTGGTGCCTAAACGCTCAGTGCAGGTTTTGAAAATGTCTCCAGAATAACAAGTGAGTGAAGCTGCTTGTTTGTGCTGTCGTGAAGTGGAAAGCTAAAGTCTGGCCACTATAATACAGGGTAGTCATGGTATCAGTACCTCTGAACTGTACGTGGAGAGAGTAATTGATTAATAACGTTAACTGCCATCACGAGTCCCCCAGTCAAGTTACAAAACAGTAGTCAATGGTTTTAACTATGGCCAAAGAAAATATGATTCTCTAAAGCTATTTACTCACCTTTAAGGTCTATAACTGTTTAATTAATGATGCGTTTTATGTTGTAAACCTAAAAGTGTTGTGAGAAAAATACTATGGTCTGTTTATAGGTTTCTCTGCTCTTGTAAAATGAACATATTTTGAGGAAAACCTTTCATTGTAGGATTTTTTTTCTCTCAGTTAGAAATGGCAGCAATCATCCTTGTTATATTTAAAACATTTACCAGAACATTCCCCTTTCCCACATAGTTGTTCATGAAAATTTGCAAAATGTGGTGGCGTTTTTGCCACACTTTCATAAAGAACAAAACTTAACCATTTATTTATTTTTATTTTACTCACTCACATTTAACCTGGTGTCTTTCTACAAAACAGTCTATAGGAGTGGAGGTGAAAAAAGGCACATAACTTTTGTTGTGAAGACTATTAAAGTCCGTTTTTATTTTCTTATTACAATCAGCTGTCCAAGTTTCTCCCATACTACAAGAGAGACTGTTTTCTTTGCTGCTTCCATTGTCACAAACCATTAGGGCTGATGCACCATAATAACCTTCTTCATTTGGCTTAAAACACAGTGTTTCATAACTTTGCATGTTCTTCTCGTTGTGTAATGGGGTCTGAATGCTTCGTTTGGTTAAATGTTGTTTGCAAATTTCTGCGGTTTGAAGAAAATGGGGGGGAAAATGTGTTGGCGCCTTAGCTGTTCTGTAAGAATGATATGAACATGCTTTGTCAAAAATACTTTTACATTGGCACATACATTTATGTGTTGGATTACACAAAGCAGTTGTTTTGTTTTCCACATCATTGCAGTCAATAAATGACATGTTCCAAACGTTTGGGTGCCTAATAATCATCCAGATTTTTAAAGATGAGAAATTAGAGTCCACATTAAATAAAAAATAGTGTCATTTTCCAGATGCAGTCAGATTGATGAACTGAAACTAGCTGTGATGAAACCCTTTAATGTATATACTGCCTTTGCTGTGCTGTGTTTTGTTGTAATTTATGATCGGTTCTGACTTGGTTTACATGGTTTATTTTATATTTTTCTGACTGATTTGATCATAGCTAGCTACTTTTACTTTTTAATGTTCACTGTTGAGGGCTCTAATATGCAGTGTTTTGTTCCAAATTTTACAAATAACAATAAATGTTCTTAAATCATGGATCCTTGTCGATTTTCTTCTACTGGGCGTTATTACCAATTCTTTCTAAGAACGTTACTAAAATTTCACTTTTTATGATCGAAATGGTGAAAAACATGAATAAAGTTACAAAATTATAAAATGCTACCAAAGTTAAATATTATTAATTAGTGTTTTGATTACCGTACTTGCCGCCGTACTCATCGCACTGGTCGCATCAGTCCAAATATGTCTAATAAAGTGGAAAAAACATAAATAAGTCGCTTCGCCATACAAGTTGCATCTATTATGTATCACCACTGACACGTTGCATTTGTTACACATCACCGCTGACAACCCAGAAATGTGGCCCGGTGTTGTGCCAAAAATCGATTGGCTGCCAAATGGCGGCTGCAGGAGCGTGCACAGGAGGACTTTAACAAGAATTTAACAAGATTAGCGCTTAAAAACAATTATTTGTTTGCTCGAAATTATAGCAAAAGTGGAACTTTTCCTTAATAAATGCACTTTGACGGTCAAATCAGCTGCATTTCGTAAGCCGATTTGCGGCTGCGGGGGTGCGCGGAGGGATGACTCGCTTTGCATTTCTTTATATTTAACAAGATAACCACCTTAAAACAATTCTTTGTTTGCTTGAAATTATAGTAAAGGTGTGTCTCAGTTTAACTTTTCCTTAATAAATGCACTTTAATGGTCAAATCAGCTGCATTTCGCCTGGGCGGCATGGCGAAATGCAGCTGATTTGATGTTTGCTCCAGGAGTTCCAGGGCTAAACAAAGGTGGCATGGTATGGCAAGCCAAGTGTCTCATTAATAGTCACTTTTGCCTATTAATGAGACACTTGACTTGCCTTATTGGTCGAGGGCCCTCTAGCGGCTGAAAATGGCAGTGTTCACTATTTTCCGTGTCAGAATAAATGAAATTGTCAGATCTCAGCCAAAAATTGGGTTATAAATATGGGGAAAAACCATAAATATGTCGCTTCACTGTATAAGTTGCAGGCACGCTAACTTATGCAAAAAACTGCGACTTATACAGCGAAAAATACGGTACGTTAGAAATCTTCTAAAAGGGAAAGAACAACTCACTGGGAAGTCATCGGTTTGACTTTTAGTTCCCAAATGAAATTGTTTGATAATTATTCTTATTTATTTTATTCAACAAAAGTAGCCAAACATCTTTAATTCACAAATTTCAAGTTAAGTTGACATGTTAGAGCTATTTGGTTGTATAAAACACAATGTGTCTACTTGGAAATAAATCCATTTCTGTCACATAAAAGAATAAATAAATAAATAATGGAGCTTTAATAAAACATCATGCAACCTTCGGATTTCTTTTAAATTAATGCCGGGATGTGTTCAGGACCCCGTGAGCTGAGATTCTGATTTAACTGTTGTTTTTTTTATTTTTGTATTTGTGACAGACGTCACAGCTGATAACGAGAAGCTGAATGTAGTGATATGGGGCGTAAATATATATTTTGATTGTCAGTTATGAGTTAAGATCATAAGATATGCATGTATTATCCAAATAACCTCGTTGTTTGGGCACCACCTCTCTCTTGGAGAGGAAAATCAGTCTCTATTTACCCCAATTTAATGTAAACTGAACGTGAGTTCTTTTCTTGTGTTTAAAGAATATCTAATCAATTAATACACACAGATATGCCAAAATAATCACAAACTCCTGACCGAGTGTGTTAACGTTTTCTCTGTTCTCAGGCCCCACCTAAAGCCAGCGAGAAAACAGAAGAAAGGCGAGGGCAGGAGGCCCAAGCAGAAGAAGCCTGAAGCCGTCAGATTTGTGTACGTTGAGCGTTTGTGACACGTAAAATTTTATTTTAACTCGGACGCCTCCGTTAATTTTTCAGGTCCTCTCAGACACAGTTAGAATGTTTTTATTAGGGATAACTGGTTTATCTGGTCTCCAGTTTAACTGAAGGACGATTTGTTTTACAGCCACAGCAGCAGTCAAGGTCTCTTAACACACACGTACACATGCACACACACACACACACACACACACACACACACACACACACACACAC